TCTTAGGATATTGTTTTCACTATCCATTTATGACAAGACTCGTAATAAATAATTATCATTCTTTTTATCATATGTATTCATTATGTTTGTATAAAACAAACATATAATATGATTAATATGATTAGTTTGAAGAGTAAGACCAGATTGATGAGTATGACTATTTTGATGAGCTTTGCGAGTTTGCCCAGTTTGGAGAATTTACTCAATTTGATCCGTTTGACTCATCCATATCATATAGTTCAAATATAAATTCAAAAACAACAAAAATTATAAATGTCCAAAATGAATAACATATTTTAAAATGATAAATTATCTATTAGCAAGAGAGAGGTGGAGAGAGAAGAAAGCGAGAGAGAGACGAGAGAGAAGAGACAGAAGAGAGAGAGGAGGAGAGGAGAGAGAGAGCGCAAGAAAGGAGAGAGACAATGGAGCGAGAGGTGGAGAGAGAAGAAAACGTGAGAGAGAATAGACAAAAGAGAGAGAGAAAGGAGAGATACAATGGAGCGAGAGGTGGAGAGAGAAGAAAGCAGGAGAGAGAGAGTTGGTGAGAGAAGAAAGCGGGAGAGAGAGAGAGGTGGAGAGAGAAGAGAGAAATATAAAAAAAATTATTTTATTTTATTATATTATATAAATTAATAAAGGGTATTATAGGAAAACTACATTTATAAGTTTATATTTGATGTTGTCTTTTTTCTTTTTTTTATGAAGGGTGTGTGATGAAGTCCAAGTATCATTTAAGGTTATTTTTGCAATTGGCCCCATTAGAAATCTATTGTGACACTCGAATCCCGCATCTCGTGAACATGATATGCCACATGGACGAAAACCAATAAAACATAATAAACGAAGAGTACGGGAATTTAAAATCGTTTATAAATATAAATACGCAGCGGAATTAAAATTATCACACGTTTCTCAAAAACAACACTTGTCCAAACCCACAATTAAACACAACCGATTTCACGCAAAACCTTGTTCCACAAACCAAAACGTACAAACAGGATTATTTATCCGTACATAATGAAGTCTTCACAAAGCCGTCGCCGTCCACAGTGCGTTACTCGTGCTCCTCGGGATCTGAAAAATTCAACAACGGAGGGATAAGCAAAATGCTTAGTGAGCAGTTCGGGTTGAGCCCGGAGAGCCCATTCTCATGGAGAACGGAGCCAACTAATCTCTCAATGCAAGAATTCTTTTAATCCATTTAATCCTTTCTCATTTATCTTTTTAACACTTTAACATTATTTCACACATTTTTCCGATACCTGATAGTACTGACTCAAGTCGTCCACCGGCACTATCAAGTACCGTTCCTTTCGGTATCATCTAGTACTGACTCAATTCGTCTACCGGTACTAGACTTTACCCTGCTTCCCTATAATAGTACTGACTCCACTTCGTCAACCGGTACTATTATAAAGACGACCACTCAGATCCACCGGTCGGTCTACGAGTAGACCGTCCAGTCAACACGTTCTGATTTTCTCTTTTAAGTTTTAAGTGCAAGACCGTTCGTTCTACGAGGACAGACCGGACGTTCCGGTTCATTCGGAACGTCCGTTCTACGTGGTCCAGACCGGGCGGTCCTGCGCACTCAGACCGTCCGTTCTCCCTTGTTTCTCAGACCGGACGGTCTGGATCCTGCTGGAACGGTCGTTCCAGTTCATTTCTACGTGTTCGTTCTGCCGTGTCCTAGAGCGGACGGTCTACGTCCGTAGACCGGACGGTCTGGGACTCAGATCTTCGTCTTCCTCACGAGTTCAGTCCGATTTTTCGCCATTTTTGCCCAAATTCTGATCCGATTTAAGATCTAATTGTTACCCACTCAATACTTAACATCCCTAAGTGCTTAACTCTTGCAGAATCACTAGTCTACACCATAAATCATGAAAATAGAATCTCACAAACACAATCCAAACCACTCACCTCGGATTCAAGTGCTGTGCGTTTTTGTCCGAGCTCGTGTGTGTTCTTCAGGCCGTCTTTGGTCATGAAACTTTCCAGGAACCTCCTTGAGATGTCCTACTTTGATTTCCCGAGCTTGTTTCGCCTCAAATCTCCCTGAATCTCTCTATTTTCCTCTGTTTTCGAAGAACAGGTTCTGGGTCGCAGAATTGTGATCTTCACCTGTTGGAGCCGGTTAAATCGACCTCTAACGCCGCCATAGGAGCTAGGGAGAGGGTAGGAGGGCCAGAGGGTGTCGTCCACTAGACAGGGGTGGTGGCTGGTGGCGCGTGGGGTCGAGATGTCGCGCAATAATCGCGGCCGAAAGGTGGAAGAAAGTCAGCATTTTTCGGCGTTTTGCTCGCAGGACCCTAGACCGTCCGTTCTGCTGCTGGTCCGTCCGTTCCACTTCGCGAACGGGCAGTCCGTCGGTTCTACATGCTGGTCCGTCCGTTCCGCTTCGCGAACGGGCAGTCCGTCCGTTCTACTTGCTGGGTCGTCCGTTCCGCTCCGCGAACGGGCAGTCCGTCCGTTCTACCTCCTGGTTCGTCCGTTATGTACCGTTTTTTCGTCTTTTTCTCCGTCTTTCGCTAGATGGTCGGTCTACCTCTGGACCGATCGGTCTACGCCCGTTGATCCCTTGGTTCGATTCTTATGCCAATCACCTTATATTTTAGACTTGTCTTACCCTATTTTATTCCCGAAGTTAATTTAAATAATTTATTCGGGAATCGGGTTACAAATCATCCCCCCTTAAAATGAATTCGTCCTCGAATTCTGAATTGCTTAACATCCATTCGAAAGCCTTCCTTAAATTCCATAAAGGTTTATTACAGTACAACCTCGCTTGTTCGGACGTTTACAACATTTACACGAACAGTTGGGGATAGGTATCACGCATTTCCGCCTCGGGTTCCCATGTCATGTCGGAAACCCCTTGAGATCTCCATACCACTTTGATGAGCGGTATTTCCTTGGTTCGTAGCTTCTTGACTTTCCAGTCCACGATCTGTAGTGGTTCGTCCCGAAAACGCATAGCGCTGGTGAACTCCAATTCCTGCGGTTGTATCACATGGGAAGGATCTGCCACGTACTTTCGTAGCATTGATACGTGGAATACGTCATGCACGTTTCTCAACTCTGATGGTAGTCCAAGACGATACGCCACAGCTCCCACTTTTGCAACCACCGGGTAGGGTCCAATGTATCTCGGCTTCAGTTTCCCACCTTGTCTCGCATGCCCTCGCATTGCCTGAACGCGGAGGAAAGCTTGGTCTCCTACTTCCAAAGTGAAGTCATGCCTCCTCTGATCCGCATAAGATTTCTGTCTGTCTTGTGCGGTCTTCAGGTTAGCGCGAATCTTCCGAATCACTTCCGTCGTCTCTTCAACGATTTCAGGTCCGAAAGTTTTGCGTTCGCCGATCTCGGTCCAGCATAGTGGCGTCTTGCATGTCCTTCCGTACAGTGCCTCATACGGTGATACCCCAATACTCGCGTCATGATTGTTGTTGTATGCGAATTCACACAACGTCATGTACCGATCCCACGGAGCTCCCCACTCTAGTACACATGCTCGGAGCATGTCCTCTAAGGTTTGGATGGTTCGTTCTGACTGCCCGTCAGTCTGTGGGTGATACGCTGTGCTCATCTTCAACTTTGTACCCAATGCTCCCTGTATAGCCTTCCATAGACGAGATGTAAATCGAGCATCTCTATCGGATATGATTTCACTTGGCACTCCATGCAGCCGTATGATCTCATCGACGTATATTTGTGCCAATCGCTCGATCGTGTACTCCTCCTGTCTGATAGGGATGAAGTGAGCGGATTTCGTTAATCGGTCCACAACCACCCAGATGACATTTTTCTTACTCGGGGTAAGTGGTAACCCAACCATAAAATCCATCGCAATAGAATCTCATTTCCATTCCGGAATTTCCAATGGTTGTAGTTTGCCACCCGACATCTGTCGTTCCGCTTTCACTTGCTTACAGGTAAGGCACCTTGCTACGAAATCAGCCACATCCCGCTTGATTCTCGGCCAGGTGTACCACCGTCGTAATCTTTGGTACATTTTACTCGCCCCAGGGTGTATAGCTAGTCTGGACTGATGTGCCTCCGATAGTATCTCCCGTCTCAACACCTAGTCATCTGGCACACATAGTCGGTTACCCAGTCGCAATGCTCCCTTCTCATCGATACGGTATCCCTTACGACCGTACTCTTCTATACCGTCCATGTACCGAGCAAGCAAAAGATCGTTACGTTGTCCAGCAACCGCCCGTTCTGCAAAGTTCGGCGTCGGTTCCTCCGGTGTCAAGGTCAAATGTCCTAGCATAGCTACCAATTCGGAAGCATCGGTGCGAGACGACGTCACGACACGGATGACAGATAGAATCTTCTTCCGACTGAGGGCATCAGCTACCACGTTAATCTCCAAGTCATAGTCGGCAATGAGTTTCAACCATCGTCTTCGCCTTAGGTTTAAATCCTTCTGGGAGATTACGTATGTCAAACTCTTGTGGTCAGTATTAAGCTTAACATTTTCCCCGTATAGGTAGGACCTCCAGATTTTTAAAGCATGTACGACTGCTGCTAGCTCCATGTCGTGGGTCGGATAATTTTCCTCATGCTTTTTCAGTTGCCTCGATGCATAGGCGATGACATGTCCCTCTTGCATCAATACACATCCAAGTCTCTGTTTGGAGGCATCAGTGTAAACTTCGTATAGTATTCTCGGGCGCGGCAATGCCAAGATCGGTGTTGAGGTAAGTCTCCGTTGCAGTTCTTGGAAGCTTTCCTCGCACTCCGAGGTCCATTCGAACTTAACGTTCTTCCCGGTGAGTTTCGTCATGGGTCGGACTATCTTAGCGAAACCTTCCACAAATCTTCGGTAATAGCCAGCGAGACCTAGGAAGCTCCTAATTTCGGTTGCAGAGGTCGGGGCCTTCCAGTCTATGACTGCCTCGATCTTAGCCGGATCTACTTGGATTCCCTGAGCGGATACCACATGTCCTAGAAATCCAATCTCCTGCAACCAGAAGTTACACTTGCTAAACTTCGCATACAACTTGTTTTCCCTTAATCTCCACAGTGTTTTCCGCAAGTGATCCTCATGAGTGTGAGGGTCAGGCGAATAGATAAGAATACCATCGATGAATATGATGACAAACTCATCTAAGTAATCCATGAAGATGCGATTCATCAGCTGCATAAATACTGCGGGGGCATTTGTGAGTCCAAATGGCATGACCACAAACTCAAAGTGCCCATATCGAGTTCGGAACGCCGTCTTCTGTATATCCTCGGCCTTAACCCGAATCTGGTGGTATCCCGATCGCAGATCGATCTTTGAGAACCATTTAGCTCCCTGAAGTTGATCTAGCAACTCATCAATTCTCGGCAACGGGTACCGATTTTTTATAGTCACCTGGTTGAGTCCACGGTAGTCAATGCACAATCTCATGCTCCCATCTTTCTTCTTCACAAACAACACTGGCGCTCCCCAGGGTGAGACACTAGGGCGTATGAATCCCTTCTCCATCAATTCGTTCAACTGTTCCTTCAACTCTGCCATTTCTGTCGGTGCCATCCGGTACGGAACCTTGGTGATTGGTTCAGTACCCGGTAACACATCAATGGTGAAATCCACCTCTCGGTTTGGCGGTAATCCCAGCAAGTCATCGGGGAAGACATCAGGAAACTCTCGAGCAATCGGAGTATCCTCTAATTTGTGTTCCCGTTCCTTGGTACCGGTGATGACTACCAGAAATGCTTCATTCCCCTTTTTGATCATCTTTTCGGCCTTGAGTGCCGAAATGATGGGGTTTGTCGATGGTGCTCCTCTTCCCCGAAATTCGAACCCACCACTTGCATCCATAAACAATATGGTTCTCTTCTGACAATCAATCTGAGTTCAGTGCTTCGACAACCAATCAATGCCCAATATGATGCTATAACCGCCAATCGGTACCACTATGAGATCTGCGGCCAAGTTACGACCACAGATGTCCAGCGATACATCTCGTAAGGTCCCATGTACTAGGAGCGCCTCTCCCGATGGTGTGCGAACAGTAAAGTCGCTTCTTCGTATCTATTCGCTCCCTACTTAGTTTCTTTGCTTTTTCTAAGCTCAAGAAACTGTGAGTAGCCTCAATGTCAAACAATGTATAGCACTCAACATCGCAAAGGTGAAGGGTACTTGTGATAGCGACAGCTTCGTCATCCTCGAGGTTGGTCTCCTCCTCCTGTACCTCTGTCTCAGCCTCAAGAGCATAAACTCTCGGGACTGCCCCAGTCCTCGGTGGTGGTCGTGGCTGTCTGGCCATAGGCAATGTGTCTGTAGGTGCGGTGCAAGTGGCCGCAAAGTGTCCCGGCTGTTGGCATCGGAAACAGGTCAGCGGTCCCCGATAAGGTGGTGGAGGCAGCGGTAGCGCACCATCAGCAGGTGCTTTCCCCTTGCCCCGTGACTGGCTGCTCTGGCATGTCTTGCTGGTCTTTCCCGGAGGTCGGGTGTTGGAGAATCGCCTGTTAGGGCTCTGATCTCGGATGCGCTCCTCCTTCTCTTCCTTTTCTCCTCGCTCTGCTTTCACCAGCTGGCTGAAGTAGCGGCTGAGTGTGGGGTACTCGTGGAGTTCTATCTTCCTGCGAAGATATAGTCGTAGTCCGGCAATGAACTTCTGGATCTTTTTGCCTTCCGTAAGTACTAGATGTCCTGCATAGGTCAGCAAACGAGTGAACTCTGCTTCGTATTCACGAACCGTCATGTTCCCTTGTTGCAGCTGCAAGAATTCCGTAAAGCGGTGTTCTTGGTCCTGGTGGTTGTAGTATTTGTGTTCGAATTCCCCCTTGAACTCCTCCCAGGTAAAGCGGTGTCCCTCGGGCATTTCCTGCACCACCTTCTTCCACCAGTGTC